CATTTCCTCCCACTGTTTGTATATGTTTCATAGATTTCTTTAAGGGATTTATTAATTTCCTCTTCAAGGACCTTTATCATGTTCATAAAGGCTATTTTAAGGTCTACTTCTTATGCTTCTGCTATGTTTTAATACTCAGGGCTCTAGTGAAGATTTTGGCCTGTCATTGATTGTGTTTTTACATTGGTATCTAGGCATCTGAGTTCGGGAAGATTGTAACTCTAGGTGCTGATGCCTGGTTTTGTCTTTGTTGGAGGGTTTTTTTGTTTGTTTTTCTTCCTAGATTTCTGTTAGTTCTTAGAGAGTGATGGCTGTGTGTTGTCTGGTAGGAAATTCTTCTGGGATCATCACTGGGATCACAGGTAAAATGTGTTCCTAGGTATTGGGAGCGGATACTAAGGATTGGGGATGTGATGGAGGTGGGTCTTGTATCTTATCTGTTGCTTTCATTGGTTAATTAATAAAGAAAACTGCTTGGCCCTGATAGGACAGAAAATTAGGTAGGTGGAGTAGACAGAACAAAATTCTGGGAGAAAAAGGCCGAGTCAGGCAGTCACCATGATTCTCCCACCCCAGACAGACACAGGTTAAGATCTTTCCTGGTAAGACACCTCGTGGGCTACACAGATTATTAGAAATGGATTAGATCAATATGTAAGAGCTAGCCAGTAAGAGGCTAGAGCTATGGGCCAGACAGTGTTTAAAAGAATACAGTTTCCATGTAATTATTTCAGGGTAAAGCTAGCTGGATGGCGGAACGCAGCCTGACGTTCATTACTACAGGGATGGGTTAGGAGGGGAGGTGCTGAGGAGGTCCCCAGGAGGGAGGAATTCAGGATGTTCCACCAGGATCTGCTCAGTCCCCTGGGAATGGGGACAGCGAGGAAGGAAAGGACATAGAAGGTGGTATCCCACAGAGCTGGGGATGAGACTCGAGATTATATTGAGTGACAGAGAGAGAAGTGAAGATCTACAGGCAGTCTAGCTGCTTCCCTGGCTGAAGTTGCCTGCAGCTTCTCAGGGAATGCCTGCTGGAGCTGGGAATGAATAGGGAGAAATTTGGAGGGGAGGATCTGGGTGATCCAATGGAGAAGGGACTGGGTGGAATCTGCTGAAGCAGATGGTGTGCTACAGAGCTGGGGATATGACTGGAGGGGAGGTGAAGATCTGTGTTTGCCTCCCTGCTTTGCTCTCTGAAGTCTTTTGAGCCTGCCTATAATTGGAAGGTGGGGGTGAAATGCTGATCACAGACTCTGAGCTCGGTTGGGTGTGGTGCCAGCACTTAAGAGGCAGAGGCAGGTGGATCTCTGTGAGTTTGAGGTCAGCCTGGTCTGCAGAGCGAGTTCCAGGACAGCCAGGGCTACATAGAGAGACCCTGTCTCTAAAATACAAAAGAAAACAAAAGCCCTCTGAGTTCACAGGTTGAGTTTGGTACTGTATGGTGATCCAGCTAGGCTGGCTTTGGGAGTCTTTTTTTTTTTTTTTTTTTGGCTTGTGGAATGTTCCCAGAGTAGAGTTTTCTGGTCTCCAGCCTGAAGAGAGAAAGGGATCTGGTTGTGTGAGAAGGCTCAGGATCTCTGCATTCAGCATTCCAGTGACACCTGGGCACTAAATCCTTTTCTTTTGGGAATGGTGTCTAAATTCCTAAGATGCCCAGGACTCTGCCAGTCCAGTGCATCTTCTCAGAGGAAAACCCCACAGGCCCTACTGGGAAGGATGGACCGTTTCTTGGTGATTCAGAGTTAGGGAAGAAACCCAGGGATCTAATTGTGGTTCGATTGGTCTTTCCTTCAGTCCAGGCTCCCGCAGTTCTGAGGGTTTTGGATTGCCAGTTTCTGTGCCTTCACAGAAGAATGTGATGTAAATCAATCTCTCAGTTTCCTTTCTGCCAGTTAGAGACAGCTTTTTGCTCAGGACAGCGAAGTCAGTAATGCAGGACTGCCTGCTGTCCTGCCTCAGGAGTCCTGTTGCTTTTGTCTCCTTCCTTGCTCTTTCCATCCTAAAGTCTTCTTATTAAAGTTTTAGTATGGTTTTGGGAAGGAATGAAATTAGAGGAATGAATTCGGTCACCATTTTAACCAAGAGTCCTACCCTCCCTTTTCAATATCTTTGTAAAAAATATAATTCTTGGGACCAACCCTACTTGGTCATGGAGGATTGCAATTTGAATGTACTGGGATATGTTTATTTCTGCCTTTTCACTTAGAAGCCTTTAAGTGAACATGATTAGCAAGAAATGAGGCTTTCTGCGAGGGAAATTTAAAGAAAATGTCTCCAGTGGGATAACTATTATTACACATATGAAGAAAAGAGAGGCAGAATCTTAGTATGTCGCCTCTAGGCAGCCCCTAGTGGACAAGGCAGCGGGGAACAGAGTACTGCCTTCCCGTAGGGACTGTAGGGACACCTACGCACGTCTTTCCTAGTGTTTTGTTTGGGGACTCAGAATAAATCCCAGATTTCACCATTGGCTGACTGTGAGAGCATCTTTGGAGGCCTGATCTCATCTGGTATCTGTTGATGGGATGAGTTCCGTGATCAGAAAATGAGTCTCAGATGCTTTTCTGAAATGTGACACATTGCCCACCCGACCCCACCATCCTCCTCACCCCACCATCCTCCTCACCCCACCACCCCTCATCCCACCACCCCTCACCCCACCACCCCTCACCCCACCACCCTCCTCACCCCACTCCCTCCTCATCCCACCACCCTCTTCACCCCACCCTCTTCACCCCACCCTCTCCCCACCCCACCTTCTCCTCATCTCACCACCCTCCTCATCCCNTGCTCTGTTCCACTAGTACCTACCTACACCCTCACTCGCAAACCAACAGCCTGCAGCCTCACGGGCGCTCCCTACCCGCATACTCACCACCCTTTTCCTTGATTCCCCCACATCACCTCTCTTACCTTTTGCCCAACAGCGTTGTAGCCAGAACAGCCTGTCCTGCAGGACAAGCTAGCCCCTCTTCACCCCCCCCCCCCCCCCCCCCCCCCCCCCCCCCCCCCCCCCCCCCCCCCCCCCCCCCCCCCCCCCCCCCCCCCCCCCTCCCCCCCCCCCCCCTCCTCACCCCCCCCCCAAGTCCAAATTACTATGCTAGCTCTCTGCTTCCCAGGGCAGGACTAGATGATTCTGTCTGACTATTTTTATTGAGACTGGTTCTCATGTTCCTTGGACTGGCCTTAAAATCCCTATGTAGCCAACCAAGGCTAGCCTCGAACTTGGGTCCTTTCACCCTTCACCTCCTAAAGGGCAGGGTGACGGGCCTTCATCATCATACCCCGCAGGATGGGGAATTCTTTTGTGGTTTTGTCTGTCTGTCTGGTTAGTTGGTTGGTTTAGTTTTTGAGAGATTCTCAACCTGTAGATCTGGTTAATATCAAACTTTCAGTCTTTCTGTCTCCCAAGTGACAGAATTACAGGAATTTGTTATCATGTCTGTCTGTCTGTCTCATTGTGTGTTGTCTGGTTTGGACTTGGACTTGGGTTCCTCCTTCTTTTACCCTCTTGAGATACTAGGATTACTTAATGTCCATGCAATTTCTCCTTGCTCCCTAGGTAATTCCTAAACACCTCGCCCAGTCTACCTTCTAAAGCAGAGTGAGGGGCAAATGGAAAGGAGGTTTGGGGTCACACTCAGGACTGCGACCTCACAATACTTTTTCCCTCTGTGGCTTGTGATCCCCGATAAGGGAAAAGACTTAACATTCTCGGTGGTGCCTGGCACTCAGTAGGACTGATGTCTGCAGAACAGAAACTTTGGATAATGTGTGTAGTCCAGATTGGCCTGAACATCCCATGTAACTGAGGATATCCTCAAACTATAATCTTCTGCCTCTGCCAGGCAGGTGCTCAGTCTTCCGACACTTCTGGAAGAAGGAAAACATGAAGGGATTTAGAGACTCCAGACAAATAAACAAGCCGCAATCATTTAGTCAGTGCCACAGCCTTTTCTGGCTTAGTGACAGCTCAGTGTTGGTCCCCACACTGAGCTAGCCTCCACCTGGCCTCTCCTGCATTCATGTGAGGCTGGGTGGTCTCCTCTCTCTCACCAGAGACAAGCTGTGATCCACCTCGCACTTGTCTCACTATTCTTTCTCACAGTCGTTTCTGAAGCTGAGTATTTTGAAGAGATTTGAGGGAGAGAGAGAGAGAGAGAGAGAGAGAGAGAGAGAGAGAGAGAGAGAGAGAGGTTATGAACGGGAATTGAATTGACATTTGGCAGCTGGTCTACCAAGCGTAGGAGGCCCTCCTCGGTGGTTGTATAATGTTTGCAAACCACCAGGTGGTGGAGAACACGAGCACAGAACTGAGCAATCTTGGGAAATTTGGTAAATTCTGAGGACTTTCTTTATCTGTCTCTAAAATGGGAACATAGTGTTGTGATGCCGTGTTTTTTACCCATTGTAAGGCTTAGCTGAGTGGATTTTATTGCCTAGGATTTTATTGCAAGGCTACCGTTGCATGTGTGCATGCACCCGTGTGCATGTGTGTATGTATGTGCGTGTGCATGTGGTGTGTGTGTGTGTGTGTGTGCTCGCGCGCGCGCGCTCGCCCAGAACCCTCACCGGAGGGTGTTTCCCCAGAATGGCGAGCTTGTGGGTGTGTGCGCTGGGCGGCCCTCGGAGCGTGTGGTTGCCAGCGCCAGGCTGAGAACCAAGCGCCGGTTCTCCCGCCGCTGATTGGCAGCGCTGGGTGAATGAGTGCGCGTGGGGCCGGGGCAGCAAGGCAGCGGTGGCTCCGCGCTGCTGTGCGCGCCCGCCTGCCGACCGGGGTAGGGGCGGACCTTGGGCGGCGGGCGGCGGACCGCGGGCGAGCTGGGAGGAGGGAGAGGAGGGCGGGCGCGGGAGGCGGCGGGGAGGGCCGTGAGAGCCCGGCTGTCGCGGGGCCCCGGCGCGGGTGTTGGGCCGGGAAGCCAGGCTCACAGCCAGGAGGCGGCGCCGCGGGGAGGGAGCGGAGTGCGGAGCACGAGCGGAGCCGGGCAGCCCACCGCCTGCTGAGAACCGCTGTGGGTCCTAGACTGGTCGGGGACAGTCCCTGAGCTTCGGGTCGGCTGCGATCGCGCGGCAGTCAGAAGCTCTGGGCTTGAATCCCTGCACTGGACGCAGCGGAGATAGGGCGAGACTTGCAGAGCCTTGCCCAGCTGGGGCCCGCTGAGACAGAACGCCCCTTCTCCCGGGAGTTGGCCCCGAGGACCCGCCGGAGAGGAGCAGGTCCGTTAGTCCGGACTGGGGGAGCGGGGGTGTGGTGTGTGCGCAAGCGCGTGTGCATGTGTGCCTGCAAGGGGTGGGTGTGTAAGGGGCGTGGGGGATGATGGAGATGATGGTGTGTGGTGTGTCAGTACAGTGTGGTAGGGTTGTTTGTGCTTCTGACAGCAGAGGAAGAGGGAGGGAGGGAGGAGAGAGAGAGAGAGAGAGAGAGAGAGAGAGAGAGAGAGAGAGAGAGAGAGAGAGAGAACCCATGTAGGAGGGAAAGGGGCTCAGCAGGGTGGAGCGTGTGTGTGTGTGTGTGTGTGTGTGTGTGTGTGTGTGCAAGAGTGTGTGAAGGGTGTGTGGGTGAGTGTGTCATGGGTGCTAGGTGAGGCTGTGTGTGATGTAAGGGTATTGGGTGCACGTGTGTCCCTGGTTCACCCTCCCTTCCTCCACCAGATGTGTTCTGGGGAGGGGGCAGTAGCCTTCCGCAGCTGCCCTTGCCCAGCTTGCCTGCCTGATAACCTCTCCCAGGGAGCCAGAAGGGGTTAACTGGTCCCTTCCTCAATACTCCTAGGGTCAGGCGGGTGTAACAGCAGGCCAAGCCCCCAGAAAAGGCTCCCGAGATCAAGACCAGCTAGTCACCCTGCTCCCCTGGCACAGCCTGAGTAGCCTTCCAGCTCAGATCACTCTGGCTCGTGTTCTACCCTTCCTGAGGGCCTTGTGCTCCAGTGCTTTCTCTCACTGGGACTGGAGATGGGGGACTCAACAGGGAGGGTTTGCTTTTTTTGCCGCCGTATTGCTGGAACAGTGGTTGGCACACAGTGGGTCTCTGTAGATGTTTGAGGGAGGAAGGAAGCTGGACGCTGGGCGCGGTGGGGGTGGGGGTGGGGAGAGGATCTGCATCTGAGAGGCCAAGTTGATTCTCTAGGCTCTGGTTAAGGATGAGGCTACTGCCTATAGTCAGACTTCAGCCCCCCTTGTGGGAAGGCTGGGTACATGTAGAGGAGGGGGTGCAGAGAAGAGATTTGTACTGGAGCCTGCAGGTAGTGGAAAGGGCTGGCAAGAAGAGTTGCTCCTCTCAGCAGAACCTTTTGCCTCTTGCTCCTGTGCCTGCTTCTCTGTGATTAGAACCTCTGCCTAGGGTGTCTGATCTGGGAAAGGAAGAGGGTGGTAGAGGCCCAGGCTTACAGGACTTCTCCTCCCTCTAGGACCCTTGAGCTCACCAAGTGTCTAAGAAGTGAGCCTCCTGCCCACCCAGGCTGCTGCTCCAGGTGGAGCCATGGCAGGCCACTGCTGCCTGGAGTTGGGGTTGTTCTGCTGGGTCCTGCTTGCCGTTCCTGTGGGTCCCCAGCCTGCTTCCTCTGCGCCTGGTGGCCCTCTCACCACTCTGACCCCACCACCTCAGAGTGAGGCCTCCATGCTGTCTCTCAACCTGGGACTGAACTTCAAATTCCACCTTCGGGGACCTGCTGCTGTCTGGGGGAGCCCTGTCACAGAGACTCACCCTCTTTCTCCTGGGCTAGGCCAGGAGTCTGAGGGAGAGGTGGAAGGCGACTTGAGGACTGATCCCCTTTGGGAACTGCTGGTGGGCTCTCCCGGGAACTACCTCCCCGAGTGGGGTTCTGCTGATGGCAGCTCCACACCCTGGGCCTCCTCCCTGCCTCCTGAGTCCACATCCCCCCTGTCAGGGCCCACCAAGCGGCCCACTGCTCCCTCTCAGCCTAGGCTGGGCACTGTGACCTGGGCGACTGCTCTGACAGCTACAGCACCTCCAACCAGTCCTCCCAGGGCTCATCAGAGTGAGCTCGAACTGAAGTTTGGTGTGGCACTGAGAGCAGGTGCAGCCCCCACTCTGGGTCATCGGTCACTGCCCCTACTGCCCAGCCTGCGGGCCAGCCTGGCAGAGATTGCTGGGCGCCTGGGACCCTTTGGTAAGTAGCCACCCCATGTGAGGCGAATCCCTCCTGGGCATCAGTTGATAATATCCGCTGTCCACTAGTAGACAGGAGGCAGCTTCAGCCCGGACTCTTTTTTGCAGGGTTCTTTGGTACTACTCTGTCTCCACTCCGGAATTTCTCAGGCCACAATTTCCCAGGCTCAACAGCACAGCCAAGCTCCGCTTCCCAAGTGTCAGATTCTCCAGGTGAGAATTTTGCTAGTGTTATTAATTGTAATGTAAATATATGTGTTTTCCAATGATCTTAGGTGACCCCTGGGAAGGGGTCGAGACCCATAGGTTGAGAACCACTACTCTAGGTCAAGGGCTAATGCTCCCTGGAGAAGCAATCTTAGCTATATTGACTCTGATTTGGTGCCTGCAGTTTAATTCATGGTTTGCATGTGGCTACAGTTCCTGGGGCAGTGATTTCCTTGGGACAAGCTCTGGAGGAAGATAGAACTTTCTCCAGAGCCCCCAAAGCCACTGCCGGCTGGTAGGATGACACTTGAGCCCTGTATGCTCCTGTTACAGGACTCTTTGGTACCACTCGGTCCCTACCCCCTCCTCTTCTGGAAAGAGAGTTCTCAAACTCAAGCCTGCCAGATTCAGAGGCTTCTGCAAGCTCTGCCACCATCAAGACAACACCAACGCAACATGGTAAGCACACAAGCCATTTGAAATAGACACGCTACATGTCACACACTCAGCAGTGTCCCGGGGCCTTTCTATGTCACTGTCCCCATAGCCATACCACAGTTCACTTCACCATCACTATGAGAAATTATACCTTAATGATCTAACAAGGATTGGTTGGGAAGGTGCCACATGGCGTTAGGTGAGGTTCTCTGAGATGATTGCTGCCACAGGCAGAGCAGGACAGCAAGAGAAGCCAGGGCTGCTAGCGCAAGAGTTACTCCATGATTTCCACAGCATTTCCACTCATCCCAGCCTCCACGCTGGGTGCCTGATCTTCCTTCCTACCACCATTCCACCCAGCCTTGGGGTTTTCTCCTCTGCTGTTGATCTGCCATGACATGCTGTCAGCCCTGGGCAGAGCTGAACCCTTCACAGAGGAGACGTTAAAGAGGAGACTGTGAGCAGACAGATGTCACCTGCGGTCAGGGAGCCTTTCAGAACAGGCACCTAGACAGGGGGATGTGGAGGAAGCATTTGCCCTCTTTCTTTGAGCCCAAGTCTTCTCACTTATCCAGTGTCTGATAATGGTACATGTTTTTGTTTGTTTGTTTGTTTGTTTGTTTGTTTTAGAAACACTGATGTCTCGAGACAGTGTAAACCCTAGCTGGATACCAAGTAGAAACTCATTAAACAGTAGCTTCTTAACTTGCACTGCACCCCAAATACACACTCAGACTCAGCCTTTCAGATACCCCGGCCTTGACCCCACTAGGGCAGAGGGCACAGGTGCCCAAAGAGAGGCTCTGATAAATAAGGCCATGGGCACCATGAGGAGGGACTCCTAGCCCACCTCTGCTCTGCTGAAGACTTCCGGTGTCTGTGAATGAAAGCATCTAAGCCACCCTGTACTGTGCTCAGTCATGGATGCCCTGGCTTCCTGACCATGCACTGTATTTATGGCTGTCTTCAGCCATCGTCACAGTGGTCCCTCTGAGGGTAGAAGGAACGGCCACTGCCCTGTGGAGCTAGAGTGCAGCGGTGGCAGGATCTGCTGTGGGTGGGGGGCAGTTCTGTGCCTCAGGGGATAGATGCTGGTGCTGGCTGGCGTTCTGTCAGCCCGGGTGACAGTGCTGGCCAGGCAGGTTTAATGAGTCTGGACAGTATCAGAGGCAGTCCAGCCTCACAACCCCATCTCCCTACCCCCGCTTCACTGGTGGCTGCAGGAACTCAGGCTCTTCTTGCTGCTTCTCTTACATAAACCCAGAAGCCTGGGTCAATCCTTGCTCGGGGGGGGGGGGGGGAGAACTTATCTTCATTTTTGTGTGTTTTAAGATAGGGCCTCAAACTGGCTTTGTAGCTGAGGCTTGCTTTGAACCCCTGATCCTCCTGCCTCTACCTCACAAGTACTGGTATTGCAAGATCATACCCAGCACCCAAGGATCCTTCTAACTGAAGTGACATTTACCTTGTGCCACATAGACACAGGGCTACTCTGCACTGGGCCCCCTTTTCTTGGACCATAGCTTATATTCAACCCACCTACTCATTGACAATTATGGGTTCTACAGTATCCAAGGATTTCAGGCCCATTGATAAGTCCTCCCTGCTCTCGCTCTGCTCCCTGACCGTACTAGCAGGCCTGGGCTAATCCCTGGGACATCTGCTTATTATGTATTTCCAGTGTCACTGCTGAGAGCATCAGTCTCCACAATGCCGGGGTTGAGGGTGGGGAGAAAGACGCAGCCAAACCCTTAAATGGGCTGCAGCTTCCAGCCTCCAGAGTTGATTCCTTGGCCCTTTGATCTTGGTGCCTGGTGGATAATCAAACCTGGCTTTTCCAGGACCTAGCTTATCCTCTCCCATCCCCCACCTCGGCCAGCCCCATCTCGATTACTCATGTTGACATCCCATCTCTGCTTTTCTCTCACCCCTGAGGTCAAGGGGCCACAAGGACAGGGTGGAACCTCCCCTGAAGGGGTGGGCTGTTCAGGATCCTTCTCCTGGGAATGCAGGGAATATAGGATCACTGAGCTTTAAGTAAAGCTCAAGGTTTTTTGTTTGATAGGGAGATACATTTGGAGAGAAAAGAGATGAGGTCAAGTGGGCTCTCCACAGGCAGAAGCTAGGCGATCTCCTACCTGCCTCCATCCACACTTGGTCTAATGGGCTCTCTGGGCAAACTCTGGTCCTCAGGAACACTGTTCCAAACCCAGAAGTCTGTCTTTGTCACTTGAGGTGTTCCTTGTGCTTTGCTCATTTTCTGTGCTGCATTTTATAAACATTGACATTTGCCCTATTGACCATCGTGTTTGAGGACACGGGTGAGACATGGGGTTCGTGTGGCCCGTAAGTGAGAAGTGGATGTGCTCTGTGGGAGCACGTGTCTGTGTGGTAAGCAGGGGAGAGGCTGAGGATGCCAGGCTGGAGCCCACTATGGGCCCCTGGGCAGGGAAGGGCCAAATGAAACCAAAGTAATCCGGTAACTTAGTAGCAGCTTGTTAGATCAGGGCATGGGAAGGGGCCAGAAAATGAGGAGAGGGGTGTGTTAGTTTGATGTACCGACACAAGGCTGAGGCCTCCTCTGACCAGCCAGCTACCTGTTCCCAACTGAGTGGGTGTTGGGGAGAGTTTAGATCCTCAACCCAGTGTCCTTCAAGTAACTCAAACTGAGATAGTAGATTGACATTAACTTCCTGGACTTCTGTCTTTCTAAGCACATTTAGGATGTGCTAAGGCGGGGCTGGAGAGATGCTTCAGTGGTTAAGAGCACTGGTTGTTCTTGCAGAGGACCTGAGTTCAATTCCCAGCACCCACATGGCAGCTCAGAACTGTCTTAAATTCCAGTTCCAGGGGACCTAACACCCAAGGCAAGATACCAATGTGCATAAAATAAAAATAAATAAATTAAAAAAAGATGTGCTAAGGCTTTCCACATAGACCAAAACCTTAAGTTGTTAAACCAAGAACTCATCCGTGGGGCTGGAGACACAACTCATCACTTAAAAATACATACTGCTTTTGTAAAGGACCCAGGGTGGTTCCCAGCACCCACACTGGATAGCTCACAACGATCCATAACTCAAGCTCCAGGGCATGTAACACCCTCTTCTGACTTTTGTGGGCACATGTACTCAACTGTAAAAGACCCCCAACACAAGTAATTACAAATAAAATAGATCTTGAGAAAAGAACTAATTTGAGGCCAGAACTGATTGCACGCAAACATAAACTGATGATTGGTCAGAGGTGAACACTAGTTCATGACGCTGGCCAGAATTCCGTACTGATAAAGTTTTCCCGCACACATCTCATTTACCTTCACGGCTGTTCTGTGTAATAGGCAGTCATCCCCAGTTCCCATCTGAGGCATGGAATGGAATGGGGACCAGAGTGCCTGCTGCTGCTTGTAGCTGGCAGGGAGGGTTTAATTTGTTGGTTGCTACCTCCATGCCTTTCCTAGCTGTCAATTCTTCTTTCCTTCTCTCTCTTGAGCTGCCTGGGACTTCACTCATTTTTCTTTGGTTTGGTTTTGCAGTTCCCAGCATGAGGGATAAGAGTCTGAGGTGGGTGTTCCTGGTTTCCCTCTATCATCAGCCTGGGCACGGCTGGGGGTAGAGTGTAACTACCAGAAGCCCTTTCTCTTCAACACACACCCGTCTCCTGCCCGCCTTACATCCTCACCTCGCTGCCCCGGTCCTTCAATGCTACCTTTTTCTTCCACTGCTCTTGCCTGCAGCTGCCTGCTGAAACTTTGAGGTGCAGGAAGAGATCAACTTTTATCGCCTCCCTTTCTGATTGGCCATGGAATGATCTCTGAGTCTGACATTTTTTTAAAGCTCCTTTTGCTGCAGGAGAGCAGAACCAAGGGTCTCAATCCTTTCCACCCTCCATCGACTTCCCTTCCCCCAAGGGAGGTGGGAGATGAAGGGGCTAGAGCATGAGTTAGCAGACCCCAGCACGCTCAAGGGGCTCACTTATTTAGATAGCATGTTACCCCACTATGATCTCCCTAATTGTTCCTTTTGGGGAGCTCAAGGCCACCCTCTGAGACCCAGAGGAGTTCATCCCATACTATCTTGTATAAAATAGTAGTAGGATAAAGAGGCATACATAGCAAGAGCCTTACACTAGAGGGTATGAATGTGGTTCCGTGGTAGAGCATGGGGATCAGAGGAGAGAGTATTTAGCATGAGCCTGGCTTAGTAGTTTATGCTATAGCCTCAGCACCCAGCGAGATGCGGCACAACGATTGTTGTGAGCTAAGAGGGCAACCTGGTCTACAAAGTGAGACCCTATCTCATAAAAATAGCAAAACAAACAACAAAAAAGTCTTGTGGATCAGTCAGGTGGGAGGGGGGTTACTGCCCTTTGCTGGCTAAGCACTGGGGTGTAGTCTGAGGGAAGGACACAGTAAGAAATTGTGTTCTCCTTAGAATACTAGGGCAGGGGAGTCTTCCCGTTCTTCATGTTGCACACATGTGTTCATGCATGTTCAGTGAACAGGGACAAAAGAGTATTGAATAGGGACAGGTGAAGGACTGTTCTAGTCCTAGACGTGGTTAGGAGTCAGGTGTGTGTGTGTGTGTGTGTGTGTGTGTGTGTGTGTGTTGGGGGAAGAGCAGCCTATTGGTACTGTGGAAGAGTGTATTGTGGGAAGGGATGCAGGGTGATGCTCAGATCTGGGTTCTGGAACTATGACTGTTTGGGACCTTGGGAAAGTCCTTTTGCAGAACTTCAGTTTCTTCGTTTGGTAGATAGAGGATTCTATTAGTGAATGAAAACGACTCGGTGTCTCCCACATGCCACCAATCATTGAAGCGTGGAGATTCATATGTGCGCGAAGGAAACGAAAACTTCTTTTGTTGCGTGGGGATTGTTCTGGGGGGGGCAGCCACACAGTTCCTTCCAGTTGCAAACTTCAGTAACTTCTTAAGGTTTTCTTAAGAAAACCCCTCCCCCAGCCCAGTAAAATCAAGAAGCAATGGGAGGGTGAGCAGCGGATAGATGGGAGGAGAGTGATCGCAGAAAGCTTCAGCCTGGAGGGTGGGGTTCTGGGAGGAGAAGGGGAAAAGATGAAAAACAGGCTCCTTAAAGATGTACTCAGATTTCTAGCTGAGGGCTGGCAGCGTGTGTGTTGGGGCAGGGGTGGGGTGGGGAGGGGGAGGCAGGCTGCTAATGGCTTCAGCCAAATATCTTCTGTCCACAGACCCCACTGTCTCCACTTCTGTTCCATATGAACCCTTTCCTGCCAGTTCCGGGAACCCTTCAGAACAGCCTGAATGTGAGCCAGATTCTTGTAGTGAGCCAGACTTGCCCGATGACTTGGGGCAGCCTCCTGCCTCTGCTCTTCCACTTTTCTTCTTGACCCTGGAGGCCGATTGGGCAGAGGCCAAGGCTCGCTGGGGCCTGGCCTGGGAAGCCCATGTATATGGGGCAGGAGCGCTCTTCGGCCTGGTGGCCCTGCTGGCTCTGTTGGCTCTGGCCCTTTTGCCCTGGCGTTGCCCTCCCGGGACCCCCTGCCTGGCGTTGCTGGATCTGCTGCTGCTTTCGGCCGGGACCACTCGGGCCTTCCCTCTCTTCTACGACGCCTACGGGCACCGTGACCGGCTGCCGACCCTCGCCTGGCTGCTGCTGCAGGACCTTCCACAGCCCTGTCTAGCCGCAGGCCTGGGGCTGGCTTGCCTGCTGCTGGCCCGGCCGCGCACGCCGAGGTGCCCGACCGGCTTGGCTGCGCTGCTGCTACTGGGGCTGGGGCTGGCGGCCGCTGCCACCCTGGGAAGCGCCGTGCACCAGCCACTGTGGCCGCTGCGGCTCGCCTCCCGCGGGCTGCACGCTTTCCTCGCTGTCTTCCTGTCGGCGCTCCTGCTGGCCCTCTCTTGCTGGGGCGGCCGCCGTCGGCGACCCGGAGCACCCCTGGGAGGGTCTGGCTTCAAAGGCGCTACGCCTGTCCCGCAAGTGCGCAGCCCCTTCGCCCCGCGGGAGTCCTGGAGGCGCGCGGCGCGCACAGCCCCGGTGGCCGGTACCTTTGGGCTGCTGAGCGGAGCCCTGCAGGGCTACGAGGTGCTTCACGCCCTGGGCTACGGCACCCAAGCCGGTTTGGAGGGGCCCTGGCCCTGGTGGGCCTTCCAGCTAGGGCTGCGTCTGGGCGAGGTGGGTGTCGCGCTCCCCTTGGCACTGCTGGGCCTCTACCCCACGCTCTGCAACCCGCGTGTGCCAAGGCGCTGCTGGGCCAAACTCTTCCGATTGTCGCCGGGACACGCTGCTCCGCTGCTGCCAGGACGTTGGGTCCCTGGGGCCCGGGACAAGGAGCCCCTGGGTAGCGCGATCGCGCGTGGGGACGCAGAGTTGCTGCAGCTGTGTGCCCTAGCGGGCCCGGGCCCCGACCTCCTACTCCAGGGTGGCGGGTGCCGGGGCTTCGAAGGTGCCGGAGCGAATGCAACGCAGTCACCAGCCTCCTCCCCTAGCAGCGATTGCACGGTGGACTTCCGCCCGCCCTCACCGATCAACCTGCGGCGCAGCATCGAGGAAGCCCTCTGCAGTGAGGCGCTTTTGGCTCCTGGCCTCTTTCAGGGAGTCACTGCCTTTGGGGAAGCCCTACCTGGACTCGGCCTCTACCGCACCGTCTCACTGGGGAACAAGACAGGAGCCGGACCCGGTGAGAGGTCGGAGAAGGTCCCTGGATCCCCAGCGCCTCCTGAGCTCCCTTCTCCTGGGGCCTGGCCCGCGGGCAGCAGCGCCTCATCTGGCTCTCTGTGTGGACTCTCACGGGACAGCTCCTCCATGCTTCTGTGTTCCAGCCCCGACAGGCCTCCGCGCTGTCCGCTAGTCTGCGTTCTCAGTCCCCCGCGGCCGTCGGGAAGCAGCCCCAGCCTCCCAGCCTCAGGATCCTACCAGGCCCTGTCCCCACCCTCCCGTGACTCCCCTGAACATTCTTCTGAGTTGCAGGCTGAGGAGGCATTGCTGCATGAGCAATTCCTGGATGCCTGCAGACAGATTGATGAGCTGAGCGTGGGTAGCGACACCATAGACCTGTGAAAAGGCGGCGATCTCACAGCCAACCCGTTTGCCCCCGCTTTTTTTTTTTTTTTTTTTTTTTGGCTTCTAATCTGCCCAAGACCTGCACACTGTAATCATTCCCCAATTCTGCCTGGTTCACATACCTCTTTTTGATTCCTCCTCATCCAGGGGCCCCTGGATGGGTGAGTCAGCAACCAGGTTCTGTGGATTGGGAATCAGTGCCAACTTCTCTGGAGCCGTGGGTGCTGATGCCCCCAGCTGCCATTTTAGGCTGGCAGGGTCTCACTTTCCTTGGCCTTCACCAGCAATAAAGTTCCAAGGTGCTCCACTCCTGACCAACCCCACTCCTACCTCGGTGCTGAGTGAGACAGCGATCCTCAGAAGACCGAGGGCCTTGTCTGGGCTCCGTACCCACTTGTGCCATCTCCTTCATGGTACCATCCCCTGTAGCTCATCCAAGAGAACTTAGAGCAGCTGGGTGGGAAATGGGCATTTTTAGAGTCGATGTATCAATAAAATATTTTCAGAGGACATTGTTTCCACCTTCTTGGAGGCGCTTAAAGGGGGCTACAACTTCAGCAGCTCCACCAGAAGCGGAAGTGGAGTTGGTCTGCCCCAGACTCCCGGGGACCTTCCCACAAAAGTGAGGATTCTTGTGAGCGTGTCCTGAGAGCAACCCCTGGAAGCTGCCCATCTGACTGCCAGGCTAGTCTTTTCCTAGAGGATACCGTCCTGAGAGGTGGGGGCAGGGCACTTGAGCCCTTGGTGAAATGCCTTTGATCCTCAGAGCCTGGAGTCAGGTCTTGGGAGACAGTTTTTTCGGAGCTAGTGAACCATAAAGACCTTCATGGAAAAATGGCCACACCTGTTAAAAGGCCGAGTGCCTCAGGTTAAGCCATCCAACAACCTGCTTGACAAGTTCCCCTGAGAATTTACAAAGAGGAAACTGCTTTTTCTCATCAACAGGGCCTCTTAAGCTGTGCTCAGGAGAACCCTGGAACCCTTTCCCACAGAGCTCTCATCTCTGATCCTCTGAAGAAAGTCTGTCTCCACTGCCCATCTCTTGCCACTGCCCCAGGATAGTCCTCAAAGCAGAACTCAGGACACGGAGGCCAGGGAGCACATCCAGCCACCAGAAGGAAGCATCCCTCCTTGGTACTCCCTCTGCATTTGTCATTTGGCTAAAATGTAATGGCTCCTAGTGGCACAAAGGGTCTTGGATCAGGTTTGAAAGTGAAAAGCTGGCACTGTTTTGCAAACCTCCTGCATATCACAGAGAGACCTGCAGGGGCATACACATTAGGCTCAAAGTGGGAAAAACCAGGAATTTTAGTGATTGCGCACACTCGTGCACACACACATATCCCCCCCCCCCCAACATGGATCATCAACTAATGGGGATTGGAGAGAAAAGGCAAGGAGCCAAGAGAGAAGCAGGAAGGGAGGTGAGGAGGCCCCGAGGCTTTTGTTCCTTGCAAACGAAGAAGATCTGTCGTGACTGAGGAGAGCATCAGGGTCCCAGACCTCTGTGGAGGTCCTCAGAGGGAGGAAAGAAGACAGGGACATCTGAGGGAGAGCAAGAGTCCTGGTGGAGAAGAGAAATGGAGGCAGCGGTGTGGATGAGGCTGAGGCATGAACCTGGAGTGCTCCCGGCCATGCCTGCTCCATCACCAGGCTCAGCGGGGCTCAGAAATTCTTGCTGCATCCTCACTCTGGGCTACGGCCCAGACAACTGCCAGCTTCCTAATTACAGGCATTTCTCACTGGTGTCACAGTGGCTGCAGTGGGCTCAGAGTGTTGGCACTGCGTTGTGTCGTGCAAGGAATGCTTGCTGCTAGGGGAAGCGGGTCTCCTTCTCACCCATTTCCCCTTCCAGCTGCTTCTTGTCTGCATCTGCCCAGCTCCCCGTCATCTCGTTCTCTCCAGCTGCTCTCTCTTGCTCATTCTCCTCACTGAACCCAGCCGGCTCCATGTACTCCCCTCCCCTGAGCACAGCCGTCCAAATCTGGAGCTTCCCCATTCAGTCTGTCTCTGTTTCTCTCTCTCTCTCTCTCTCTCTCTCTCTCTCTCTCTCTCTCTCTCTCTCTCTCTCTCTCTCTCTGACACTTGTTTTTGGTCTGAAAGCTCTGAATGCAGCTGATGAGAAAGGAGGCCAAAGGAATATTTCTCATTACTCACCACACTTTGTTGATTTTCCTTCAGAAGAATTACTTCTAGGGTTGGAGACATGGTTCTGCAATTACAAGGAATTTCTTTTACTCCAGAGGGCCTGGGTTCCAGTCTCAGTGCCCATATTGGGCTGCTCACAATCGAAAGTAACCAGCTCTAAGTGATCTGACGCTCTCTTCTGTCCTTCATGGGCAGCTCTCTACTACACGTTTTGTGCACACACACCCTTACACTGACGTGAATAAGATTTCCTTTAGCCCTTTCACTTACAAAGAAGCCAAGGCTTCGGTAAGCCCCACCCTTTTGTCTCAGGCCTCCTGCCTTACCCAAAGCAGGCTTCTCAGGAGGAATACAGGTCGATCTTAATACAGACATCCTGCAGCTCCAACTCCTGGTACTGGGAGGTACTGAGAGACAAACTTTCATTCATTCATGAGTTCATCCACTCCATATCCAAAGATATTTGTCAAACTGGGCGGAGGTGGCGCACGCCTTTAATCCCAGCACTTGAGAGGCAGAGGCAGGCGAATCTCTGTGAGTTCGAGGCCAGATCTAGAACAGGCTCCAAAGCTACAGAGAAACCTTGTCTCGAGAAACAAAACAAAACAAACAAAAACACCAGAAACAACCCCCCAAAACCGAACAACAACAACAACAACAAAATGCATTTGTCAAATGCTCACAATGTGTCAGGTAATGAGAACAAAAGAGCAGACAAGGGCAGAAGCCATGTGTATGTGACACTTGAGGTCTCGTGGAGGAAAGGCAAGCGCTAGTTACAGGAAGTCATTAATAACACAAGTGATTATTACAATTGTGAGAAGTGGGAAGAACAAGAGGTAATATTTTAGAAGGTTTGGCTTATGGGGAGATGGAGGAGTGGAGCCAGAGGGATGGGGCCTGAGAAAGGCTGGCTAAGAACAGCCCAGGCTTCTCTTCCCTCCTTTGCAGGCTTCAACACATTGATGGATGAGGGATAGGCCGGCAGTTTATTTCCCTTGGAAGCCACCTCGCAGGGTCCCGTGACTCCTGCTATTTAATAAAGAACACTGCATGTGTCCTGAGCAGATGGATGGGCAAATATTCCTGACTGAAGAACCATGCGCCTTCCCTGATATGAACGGTAGAAGGGGGATGGAGCAGGAAACAGATGGGGGTTCACATCTGAGCAAAGGGGAAGACAGACAAGAGTCAGTTTTACAGTGTATTCGCCCAGGACACAGACCTGCAGTATGGGTGGGTGTTTGCTGCCCCCTGATGGACATAGGGCGTTTAGTCTTTGCTCTTTAAGGAAAAATTGTATTTAGGGTATTTAGAACATTTAGGGGAAGAGGTTCAAGTGGATATGAAACTCCCCTATAGCTACAGCAGCAATGACTGGTTCCCAAAATTTACAATTTAGTATTTGAGGATAGAATTTCGATCTTACGGCGGTGGTGGGATGGGGGGGGAAAGAATATGGAATCTCAAACCAATTTTATTTAAAAGATTCTACTTACTTCTTTTGCCCATTTTACTGTTTATATTGGATAAGATTGGCTTAGTAGTAACCTTGACAATCTGTTTTTGTATTTCAATGTCTTTTCTCTTGATTTATCTATTTAAATTTAACTGTGGCATGGGTTCTTTTTCCAAAAGCACATATTATTTATTGAAGCTAGCTAAGGCTTCATAACTTTCATGCTTAGTGTCCCCCCATCACTACCAATAAATCATCTATTCATCTATCCAAAATATACTGAAAGTGGGTGTCTCTGGGGGAAATTTTCACTGTACCTTCCATCCTTTGTGGTGTTTTCTACCTACCATGTGGCTGTAATTTAAAAGTAGAGCTTTTTAAAGTGCCTCGGGTGTTTTTTTTTCCGCAGCTAGGTATTTTGCCAGTGTGGCAGTTTTCCATGTAGGACAGACAGTGTATCAAATCCTGTGGTTAGTTCGGACTCTGAGAAACAGACATGAAGGAAGATGTTTTTTCTCTGGGCAGCAGTGTGTTCTAGGTCTGTGCATATAGCTGGGTGTTATGTTTGCTTTGGGTGTGCTCTGATGTGATCTTTCAGACATTTTTTTTTTTTCGAGACAGGGTTTCTCTGTGGTTTTGGAGCCTGTCCTGGAACTAGCTCTTGTAGACCAGGCTGGTCTCGAACTCACAGAGATCCGCCTGCCTCTGCCTCCCGAGTGCTAGGATTAAAGGAGTGCGCCACCACCGCCCGGCCAGACATTTTTTGTAAGAGTTAAAAAAAAAAATCTGTCTCTCGTTCCAGAGTATTTTATATGAAGGCAGAGGCCCTGCCTCTTTTCAGGCAACCGGTTTTTATTCCTAAAGCCTGGCATATAGGAGGAGCGCAATAAAAATAATTATTGAAAATATAATTTTGTAACATTTGTTCTGTTCGAATTTTAGTAGACACAATTTATCTCTGAGGCCAGGAGACCTTTTGTCTCATTTTTCCTGAGGTCATAAAAATTGTTCAAATAATGCATGTTACATCCTTGTGTCTATGACGTTTTGGCTGAGGTTTTTGCGTGTAATTTGGGAAACTGTGGAGACCCTTCAGACAAATTTATTGAACACCCACTCTAAGTCAGATGTAGGCAAGGCTTCGAGGGAAAATGACTTCTGCCTGTTTTGGTGAATCTGGGTTCGATCTCCTAAAAAGAAAGATTTTTAAGAGAGGGTAAACTGTTGACGTCACGTTTCACTTAGCGTCAAGGACGATGCTAGTATTGCGAGTAGATGGTCGCTCAAGAAGCTCCGCCCCCAAGACGTCATTCCTTTCTTTTCATTCCGGAACTTTTTTCTTCCCCACTACGCTTTCTCCCCGGACTCTTTTGAGCAACGAGTGCTTCCGGTGTCTCCCGGCAACTTGGCGGGGTCTTCCTGCCGGAGCTCATCTCTGGACTCGCAGGCGTCGGTGAGGTTCCCTCGTGGCCTCAAACGCTTGTTTCCCGGTCTTATGGCCGGTCTGACTCTGTTTGTGGGCCGTCTCCCGCCCTCGGCTCGCAGTGAGCAGCTGGAAGAGCTGTTTAGTCAGGTGGGTCCGGTGAAGCAGTGCTTCGTGGTGACTGAGAAAGGTAAGGAGTGGGATGGCGGAGAGGGCTGGGTGCTCCTGGGAGCTAGAACACGCCGAGTTTCAGGGAGCTATGTAGTTACGGTTAGCTTGTTTTGAGGCAAGGATCTCACTCTGTAGCTCAGACTGGCCTCGAATTCGCTACCATTAGCTCTCCTGCCTCAGCCTTCTGAATCCTCTGAGTAAATGACATGAACCAACCCGGCTCTAGGCGTGCGGTTCTTGCCCCTCTCCGAAGGTTCGGGGCCGGGAACTAATTCTTCTCTAAACTGACTTTGCTGTATGTTGGCCAGTAAGGTCGATTTATGAAAGGCAAAACACCCACTTAACGTTTCTGTTGCGTTTCCCCGCGTACTCAAATTTTCAATGCTAACCTGTTAGTCTGGCGTAATGTCTATACTCCCCGCATTTGGGAGTCTGTGGCAGGAGGATTGCTGGGAATTCCAGGACAGAGTGGTCTATGTAGAAAGTTCAGGCCAGCGCCAGCTTGGATTACATAGTATGCTGTTCATTCGTCTATTTATTTGGCAAATACTTCTTGAATGCTAACTATTCCAGAACATTGTTGGCTGCCCTTGGGGTACAGCAAATGTGTGACGGTAAATCATTAAATCAGAAATCATGTTCTTATATATTTATGGTTGGGACGACAAATTAAAAAACCAAATTGTATGTTGATAATGGTGATAAATGCTAAGGAGAAAAATAAAGTTAAGGGGAGGTAGGGAGTCTGTGTGAGTGTGTGTGTGTGTGTGTGTGTGTGTGTGTGTGTGGTGGCTAGGAAAGACCTATCTGAGGAGAGATTGAACTTAGAATTCCTAAGGGATAGAACAGTCTGGATTCAGGAAGCAGCAACCTTGATATTGAAGCAGGTATGTCCTTGTAGGAGAAGAGAGCAGGGGCCAGCGTGACAAGGGAAGTGAATAAAGGGAGAGAATTAGAAAACGAGGACCAGAGAACCAGGTCAGAGAGGACCTTGCGACCTTTACAGATTTTTATTCTCCTCTGGGGAAGTCATTGGTTTTAAGCAGAGAGCAATGGCTGATCTTTTAGACTTAGGTTTTGAAAAGCTTCTGGCTGCTGTGTGGTGAATCGATGTTTAGCGGATAGAAGAGAGAGGACCAGGTGGTAGGCTCTAAGAGTAATTTGGGGAGAAATTGTGGTGTTGGACCAAGATGATAGCAAGGGAAGTGGGGAGAGTAGTTTTGTATATGGACATTGTTAAGGTAAAGTAGGATCTGCTGAAGCATTAGATACGGAGTATGAGCAAAGAGGAGTAAGGGAGTCGGTCTGATTCCGAGGACTTTGGCTTGAGTCAGAGGAGGGGTTCACCAGCTTGCTATATGCTTCCCATTCTGTTTGCCATGCATTGATTACCCAGTGTGGAGAGTTGGCATTGACTAGTGAAAGGATTTTAATGATTTTCATGTAGAAGCATTTCTATCTCAACAAGACTTGCCTGGGACACCTGGATAGATACTTTGTTACCCGGGACATACGTTTACCTCCATTTGAACTCAGCAGGCATCTTTGCGTTTCAACACAGCAACTGGTGAGAACTGGCATCTGGTGGACTCTTCTTTCCCCTCCATGGTTTCTGAGTATGTGACTAGGGAACCTGATATATGCTAATAACCACCCCATGTTTAGCTTCTGTTTCAGTAACAGAAGTTACAATTGGGGTTGTAAACGTGGCTCTGACTGCTGTGTAAGCTGCAGCATCTGCCTAATTCTTTGTCACTTTATGTATAGATACAGCAGAAGGAGTGAATGAGAGTGCTGTACATTAACTTTTTTTTAAAGAATGAGCCAGATTTCTTTGTTCATTTCTTGCATTTAAGTACTCTTCAATGACACCTTGGCCTGAGATTCTTTGCCATAGTCCTTTAGCCACTGTAGCCAGCCACTCTACAAGTCTACGCATTCCCCTAGTTTTTCCTTGTCATTCACCTTGCTTAGGTTGTGTTGGTGCCCAGTGCAAAGGGCCTCCACTACTTTGACATACGTAGGCTCATCACAGTTGACTGCAAGCACAGAAAAATGTTAGCTTGGGCCATAGAGCAAGACCCGACCTGTCTTTAAAAAATGGAAAGCAAATAAACTGAAATAAAATTAAAATTCTTATAAATACTCCTATTTTACCATATATGGATGTACTTTTATATTTTTAAATTCTAGTCAGTCGCTACTGGGTAGTAATCTGCAGTTTAAGAAACATTCATCTGGGGATGGAGAGAATTCCCAGCACTACATGGCATTCATAACAGTCTGTAATTCCAGTTCCAGGAAATCTGACACCTTCACACCAATGCACTTAAAAAAATAAAGTTAAAAGAAACATTCATTAGGGTTGGAGGCTCAGCAGTTAAGAGCACTGGCTGCTCTTCAAGAGGATCTGAGTTAAATTCCCTGCACCCATATGGTAGCTCACAACTGTCTGTAACTCCAGTTCTAGAGGATCTGACGTCCTCACACAGACATACATGCAGTCAAAACACCAATGCACATGAAGTAAAATTAAGAAAAGAAAAAAAAAATTATGTTGAGACTTGGCAGGGTGGCCTAGCAGGTTAAAAGCATTTGCCACCAAGCCTCACAACCTGACTTTTATCACCAGGACCAGAAAGAACCAACTCCTGGCAAGTTGTTCCTTTCCTTTCACATGTGCATAAGTAAATGAATAATACCTAATTTATTTATTTTTAAGAAGCACTAATGTTGAGCCAGGAGTAGTAGTGTGTGGATAATTCCAGCATTTGGTATGGGAAGGCAGGAGGATCAGGAAGCTGAGGCCTACTTGGGTTATGTAAGAGTCTTGTCTCAAGAAAAATAAAACAAGAACAAGAAAGAAGCATAAATGTCTTTTTTCCTGCTGCCGTTGCTGAGTTTCAGGGAGATGAGTTCAGGTGCATTCCAGGTTCTGCAGCACAGCAGAGGAAGGTGGACTGGACGGACATTCGTGCTGCTTTACATGCGCGCCAAAGCCTTAGACAAGTGCCAAGTGCCTCTCTGTGGAATATAGTTTTGTGTGCCCTTACCTTAAACCTCGTGCCTTTGGTCTAAATCCTTAACAATCTCTCTTGTCCCGTTTAAGAAAAATTACGGACTTTTCTATCCAGACAAGTGAAGTGTACTAGAAATGAGTGTTGTACTCCAGTGGTAGAGGAAGAGAGGGCATGGAAGTGAGGTGGGGTTTTCTCTAATGGTGTCAGCATGCCACCTCTCATGATTGTCAAGATTCTGTGTGTGTCACAGTTCTTTGTGGAGGTATAATTATTGTTTATGTCTTTACTGGGGCATTAAACTCCCCCGCCCCCTTTTGTTTTTTTAGACAGGGTTTCTCTGTGTAACTGGCTGTTCTGGAACTAACTCACTGTATAGACCAGGCTGGCATCAAACTCAGAGATCTGCCTGCCTCTGTCTCCGAGTGCTGGGATTAAAGGCGTGCGCCCCCACTGCCTGACTGAACTACACATTTGAGCAGCTTTGTTTTGGTTGTACTGATTGAGAGGAGGGTCTTTTTGTTGTTGTTGTTGTTGTAGTTGTTCTAATTTCCTGAAGGGTGAATTTGGACGTTTCAAGAGAAAAGAAATCAGTCTCCAAGTCGCAATTTGCTTTCCTGGTGCCACCTGTCAGCTGTGCAGCCACCTTCTATAGATTACTGTCCTGTGTTGTATGTGCTCTAAAGGAGGTGTGAGAGTGTTTAAAGGGGAACAGAATGCAGGAGTTGTTGCTTCTGCAGGTCATGGGTAGACATTGCTATTGGTATTGTTTTTCTTTTTTGTGCAAGAAACTAATTACAGTTTTACTACTACCCTATCCCCAGAAAAGGGCCAGGATGAGTATTTATCTCTGTCTTTTTGGTCCTGTTATTCTTCAGTGTGGGGTCTCATGAAAGACCATGAGGCTAGCAAAGAGGGATTAACATAGTTCTTTTAAAAATGATTTCCTAATTTTATGTGCCTGGGTATTTTGCCCGTATGTAATCCTGTGCACCTGTGTGTTCCTGGTGTCCTGGTGCCCTTGGAGGCCAGAAGTTGTCGCATCCCCTGGGACTGAAGTTACAGATGGTTATGGGCTACCATTTGGGTAGTGGGAATTGAACCCCAGTCCTATGGAAGAACAGTTAGTGCTCTTAATCACTGAGCCATCTCTCCAACCCCTTAACTTAGTTCCTTTTTGTTTGTTTGTTTTGTTTTTCCAGGCTGGGTTTTCTCTGTGTAGCTTTGGAGCCTTTCCTAGAACTCACTCTGTAGACCAGGTTGGCCTTGAACTCACAGAGATCTACCAACCTCTGCCTTCTGAGTGCTGGGATTAAAGGCGTGCACCACCACCATCCTGCTTTAGCTTAGTTTTTACTACTGTTTTGACATTTATTTACTTCTCCCTATCTCAGATTATTCTTTTGAAAGGAGTGGTAATATCCATGTTACCGATCTTGGAGTGTTCTGTAGATAAAATAAAGCCAAGAATTTCTTCCTTCTTTGGAAATATTTAATTCAATACTGAAATGTTAAAGTCTTGATGTCATTTTTTTAGGCTCTTATTTATTGCTAATATCTTCTAAGATTGTATTAATATAATCTGATTTTTTAAATCTACCATATGTATTATTCCTACCCTTTCTGGTGATCTTTCATTGTTAATATTGAATTCTTTGAGGGCCTAATGTTTTTCAAGGGTCCTCCGTATCCCTAAGATTATCAAGTCTGGGGTAAGAAGAGGCAATAACATCAAGATAGCAGATTGGAAGAGAGAGGAAGCCTTATAGTTCTAAATAAAGTAGGGAAAGATCTCTGCCTTATTTCTTTTCCTTTTGAGACCTGTATCGTTGATAGACTGCTCACAGGCCTTCTCTCTCGTTTCCTCACTTGTCTTGCTCTAGGGAGTAAGGCATGCCGAGGCTTTGGGTATGTCACTTTCTCCATGCTGGAAGATGTTCAGAGGGCGCTCAAGGAGATCACTACCTTTGAAGGATGCAAGATCAATGTGACTGTTGCCAAGAAAAAAGTGAAGAACAAGTCCAAGGAAAAGAAGAATAATGGTGAGTTTCTAGTAATTCTCCAGGAGGAAGGAGAATGAGAGGTGGCCAGAGAGCTAGGAGTTTTCTTTGTGTTGTTAATCACCCCCCCCCCCCCAGTATGCTTTGATAGTCATTTGTGCATCTCAGGCTGGGAAATGTGGTTATTCCTGGATGTTACACACTTGACCCCATGGTAAATACTGTCTGTATTGGTATCTTTTCCACTTAGTTCTAGCCTAGAAGTGGGTTTGCAGACTTATCCTGTGTCTCTTACCTTTTAGAAAATTCAGAGTCCCCAAAGAAGGAACCAAAGCTCAAAAAAGCCAAAGTGGCAGATAAGAAAGCCAGATTAATTATCCGGAACCTCAGCTTTAAGGTAAGATGGAGCTAAGTGCCTGTTTCAAAGGACGCTTGAACCAAGGCGTGTGCCTCAGTGGAACTCTTCACCACAGTGGGAAATAAACCTTAGCATGTCGAATTGAAAAACAGCGGGGGGGGGGGGGGTCTGTTTGTTAAGGGGCAAGCCGATGGCTCAGTGGGTAAAGGTTCTTGCTGCCAAGTCTTATGACCTGAGTTTTGTCCCTGGGTCCCGCATAGTGGAAGTAGAAAACTAGCCATTGCAGGACAACCTGATTTCCACACACACGAGCTTGCACTGCCTTCCCCCAAGTAAAATAAATCCATATAATTTTAAAGACTGTATAAAGTCCACTAAGTGTGAAGATGCTTTCCTTTGGAGGAAGCTACTGTCAAGAAGAGATCTGTGTGTTCAGCTTCTCTCTTCTTCCCTTTTTGCAACAGGGTCTCTTGTAGCTCATGTACGCTCCAACTTTCTAGCCGAGGCTAGCCTTTAGCTCCTGATTCTTCTGACTCTGTCTCTTGAGTATGGGATTGCAGGAGTGGGACACAATGTCTGGCTTTTTTCTTTTTTTTTTTTTTTTGTCTTCTTAGATACAAAGTAAGCGGTCATCTGTTCATAGTTGTTTGCTCTTCTGGTCTTGAGAGTTAAAAAAAAGGAATAAAAATATTCAGACTCCCTCTAGGAAATGAACTTAGTAGTTGATGTTTCATATTTATTTGCTATAATAATACTTCTTGTTTTCCTTTTGGCTTTAGTGTTCAGAAGATGACTTGAAAACAGCATTTACACCCTATGGAACTGTTCTGGAAGTGAATATCCCAAGGAAGCCAGGTACTTTGCACCTTCATTTGGTGTGGATTTAATGAAGATAATGTAATGTAATTGTTCCCATATTATTCAACCAAAAATAAACCTTTTGTCATGTTTCCTGTGGCCTGAGAGAGTGATATTTGTAAATTACTTAACAAGCAGTAAAGCCCAAATGCTAGTGTTAGTCCCTTGTTTTTTTAGGTAGCTCAGACTTCCTCTGGTATTGACTAATTGCTTTGCTAAAGCCAGAGTTATAGAGGATATAAACTGTTTGGGGGCAGGGACCTCTTGGCTGATGGGCAGGTTGTGGACAGCCTGACTACTGTGATCTTCCTGTTCTGTTGGCTACCTCCTGCTACCTTTAACGTTTTTGTACATTTTCTCACAGATGGAAAGATGCGTGGTTTTGCTTTTGTGCAGTTCAAAAATCTCCTTGAAGCAGGAAAAGCTCTCAAAGGCATGAATATGAAAGCAATAAAAGGTGAGTCTTCTACACCTCATACCGTGACCTAGTTATGTCTGGTGCTGGAGTGAATTAGCACAGTAACCGCCTTTTTTTTTTTTTGGTATGTTCAAAAAATATTTCTACTGCGTAGACTCTCATTGCTAAAATGGTAGCTCATATAGCCCAGGGTAGCCATGAGTTCCCTAACTCACTGAGGAGCATCTGACCTTTCTGCCTCCACCCCCGAGTTCTGAGATTACAAGCATGCATCACCACACAATTTTTGGTGAACATTTTTAGTATTTTATCTTAGGCTAAGCTTGAAAGAACTCATACCAGGAGCCTTCCCTTCATTTTTTTGAGTGTCTTTTGAAAGTTCTTAATGACTGTCCTGGGCAGAACTGCTGATAAAATGCATGTTAGTGCCTCCATTCCTGTTTCGGTTGGACCACGCTTTATCAGTACCCATGGCAATTGAACTGACAGTCTGCTCTTGGTGTCACCAGGTTCCAGGCTGCTGGAAGGGATCAGTTTAGTTCCTTCCTGACTTCCGAGCAGGATCTCCATTTTCCCGAAAGTCTGTTTTGCTTCTTGCCAGTGTAACTGGAAACACAATTCTTTGTTTATCTCGTATTATCCAAGGTGTGATGGCTGTGTAAAAAAGCTGAATTTCTGTTGTTAAAGGGTTTAAGGGATGGAAAGAGCTCCTGTAGGCAGAGTTTGATTGGGACCACCAGCTCCCAAATGACCCCACAGAGACTTATTAATTATAAATGCTTGGCTAATAGCTCTTAAGTTAACCCATTTCTATTCATTTGTGTGCTACTGTGTGGTTCATGGCTTTTTACCTCATTTTCTACATGGTTTGCTCCCTCTGTGTCTGGCTTGTGACCCCATCCTCCTTATTCCCTGCTCTCTCTTTTTGTCCACAAGTCCCACCTAACCTCTATCTGCCTAGCTATTGGCCATTTAGCCATTTATTAGAACAGTGAAAGCTACAAATATTCATAGTATACAAAAAGATTGTTTTACTGCAAGTTATTGAGAGCATTTTTAGTTTTTTTTTTTTGTTTGTTTTGAAACATTATCTTAAAGGTAGTTCAGGCTGGTCTGGAAGTAGATCTTCTTGCCTCTCTATCTTTAAGAACCAGTGTTCAGGCTGGGGAGATGGCTCAGCAGTTAAAGGCGAGGCTCACATCCAGAGAAACCAAGAGTCTGAGAATTGGCTTTTCTTTTTCTCCACTAAGACCGTAGCTCTCTCTTGATGGGTGGGAGGTGGGGACACTAAGTAGAAGAAAGTCTCCCTAATGCCACCCCTGTTTGACAGGACGGACTGTGGCTGTGGATTGGGCTGTGGCAAAGGACAAATACAAAGACACCCAGCCTGCTTCTGCCCCAGGTAAGTTGTGTTGGTGTTAGGCAGGAGGCTTGGGCAGGTGGAAACAATTCTTGTGTTGATTTTTGATTTTGAAACAGGTTTTCTGTATGTAACCTGGGACTTGCTATGTAGACAAGTCTGCCCTCGAACTCACAGAAATATACCTGCCTCTGCCTCCCAAGTACTGGATTAAAAGTGTGTGCCGACATGCCTGAAACATATTGGAGCTTTCATGTAGAGTGGGAATATTGAGCTGGAGATACCCAAAGCATAATATTAACATCCTGGAAAATCTCCAAATTCCTCTGGGCTCAGGGCTGCTTGTCGGTTCACATTGGACTGTCTGGTGAGCTGATTCCAAAACACAAGATCTTTTGAGCATGAGTGAAGAGGAGCCTGAGTTTGTTCATTCTTCCCTCTACTTACTCCCTTCTCATCCCATTATAATGAATTTTTAAGAAGAGCAGGGCTGGAGGACTCATTGGTTAAGGGCACTGGTTTCTCTTCTAGGGGATCTGAGCACCTACATGGTGGCTCCCAGTCCCGGGATCTGATCCCTTCTGATCTCTCAGGGCACTGCATGCTCTCGGTACATGCATAAATTAATACTTTTAATTAAAAATGAGAGAGAAAACTTAGAATGCTTTTAAGTCACCAGAGTGTCAGAATATTGCACATTGAAGCTAAAGTTCACGGAAGGCCTGAGAGTAGTGTGTCTGCTGTGGTGTGTAAGTGGTGGCCTGTCTGAAGAGTTTTGGTTGCTGTTTCTCTCTCTTGGGGTTTCTGATGAGGACAAGAAAAAGAAGCAACTAATCTAAGTGGTGGCAGCTTTGCTTTTTTCTCTCATATTTGCTGATATTATATGCTCTCATATTTTGGGGTCTCTGAGGAATTGATTCAAAGACGATGCTCAAATACCCAAATCCTTGGGTGCACCAATCTCGTATGGAATTAATGCAATCCTTCTGTACATTTGGTTCCTCTCTAGATTATTTGTAAACCTAATACAATACAAAGCTGTATAATAGTTATTATACTGAATTGTCCAGGGAATGTTGACAAAATAGATATTCAGTACAGACAAAGCTTTTTAAAAAGTCTTCTTTGATCTGTGGGTGATTGAATCTGAGGATGAAGAACTGATAGAAATAAAAGCCTGACTGGATGACAAGAAAAAATAGGAATCCTGAAAAACTAAAGGAACCAGGGACTTGAGTTATTAGTTTTTCCTGTTAACATAACCTTGTTTTAGATACTAAATGAATTCATTTCTTTATCTTCCTCCACAGATGAAAAGAAGAACAGTGAACATGAGCATAAGGAATCGGGTAAAAATGGCAGGGTGGAAGAGCAAGAAGATGATGAAGACGATGATGATTTTGGTGATGAAGATGATGATAGTGATGAAGAAGAGGAGGAAGGTAGAGAATCAACCGTGACGACACGTGTGAAAGTTCAGAAGAGGTAGGCCCATTCTGAGACACTGGAGAGAGGAAAACACTCGCCTCTGTCCCCACTTCACTGTAAACTTGGTGTACGTAATAAAGCTCGGTCGCTGATGTGTCAGCCCAGATGATGAGCTCTGAACTGTGCTGTTGCAGAGCAGTCAAGAGAGCAGCTCCTGAGGAAAGCACTGAAGAAGTCCATTCTGATGAGGACAGTGACCTGGAGGAAGGAGGGAGCATTGATAGCGAGGGACCGCTGGAGAGTGGGAGCAGTGCTGAGGAACAGGAGGATGAAGGTTTGCTGGGATCTTCATAAATGCCTTTCAGCTTTGAATAAATTACTGAGACGTACACCAGTTCTGCCCAGGCCTCTTTTCAAATAGCTTTTCTACCAAATTTTTGTTAACTATTAAAAAGGGAACCTTTATTTTTATTTTTTCTAATGCTTTTTTTCTCCATCCCTATATCCCCCTTCCCCCTCCCTCTCTCCCTCTTTTGAGACAAGATCTCATGTAGCCCAGGCTGATTTGATGATGATGAGCTTGGACTGGTGATCCTCTTGCCTCTCCCTCCTGAGTGATGGGCATGCACCACCACTCCTAGTTTATGAGTGCTGGGGATCAGACACAGGAAGGGCCTTGTGCATGCAAGGCACTCTAGTAACTGCTTCATCCTGCTCCCCTCTGCCCCTCTTTTGAGACAGGTCTCCTATAGCCTGGGGTGGCCTCAGGCTCAGTATGTAGATAATAATGACCTTGAACCAACCCCTGTGGTGACTTTGCTGTAATCCCAAATGCTGGGATTACAGGTGTGTCCCCTCCTTCCCCCCCACACTGTGTCTGGTTTTTGCAGTGTTGGGGTTTGAACCCAGGACTTCATTCATGCTAGGCCAACATTTACCAAATGATCTACATTCTGAGTCTTTTTGTTTCCTTATTGTTCACTCTGTTTTAAAGATGAGTTTGGAATATTTGGGAATTTAGAGTCTTTATTAGGGAATTAAAAACCTAGCTTTAATATTGAGGAACTGCTACTTCTGCTTGTCTAAGTTGAATGAATAACTGGATAAACAGGATATATTACAGTGAGAAATGCCCAGTAACTGCTTTGTCGGGGTGGCTGTTTTTACTTAGCTGTTTGCTTACATTTCTATAAGCTTGGTGTTTTGGTCTGGCCACATAAGAGATAAGAGAGAGATGAAATAATTTTTTTTTTAATTCATGAGGATGGAATCAAGGCTTTTATATTGAGAGTACAATGAGACCTATAGTTTGGGTTCATCTGCCTTCTGTCATTTTCTTTTTTGAATCTGAAAACCTAGTGGGACTCAAATAAGAAGTTAAAGAATACAAAGGAGCTTAGTGTAGAGATCAAAAGTTACTCACCAATCCAACAGTTCTCCAAAGTAATCATTTTTTTTCAGAAATTTGTTTGTATACACGGTAGCATATAAGGGTTCCAAGCATGTGCTACCACATCTACCTTAATGTTACTCTTCAAGCTATGAGTTTGCTTTTCACCCAGATCATTAACTCTTAAGTCATTGTTCTGTTTCTTGAGCACTTAGAGAACATTTTAACACATTTATAAGCAGAGACACATGCATATCCATGCAGTATAGTGTAGTAGTGAGTCTGTGTGTGCATGCTGTCTCAGGGGCTCTCATTTATATGGGGATTTTTCTTCCCATACCTTGACCACATTGGATTCTATTGGTCTTTCTTGTTTTGCCAATTTAGGTAAAAATTAGTATTTTTTTTTTTTTTTTGAACTATGCCCTCTTCCCTCCTTTCTCTTTCTCTCTCTTGCTGCTGGGGATTGAACCTCTATGTCCTTGTTTTTGTTAAACACACATTTTGCCCCTAAGCTATACCCTTAATGCCTCTGTTTTTCTTTTCTTTGAGTTTGAGTATCTTAATATATTTAGTTGTTATACCCTTTGTCCGCAGTTTAAAAAACCCCTATCAAATATTAGCCCTTTGTCTTATGAGTTTGTTGTTTTTGTGTTTTGTTTTGTTGTGTTGTTCTTTACATTAGATGTCCCAGTCTCAAAGAAAAAGAAGAGGAAATTACCCTCCGATGTGAACGAAGGGAAAACTGTTTTCATCAGGTATGCCTGCCTGTGCGGAACTGGGCATCCATCCTTCACGGGTCTCATTGCTTACCTTGCCTTTCCCTCGGCCCTAGTTCTCCTGTCCTCCCCTTCATCTCGGCTTCCTCTTTTCCTTTCCTTAGCACTGAGTTAGACACTATGAGACTGTCTAACACATCTGATCTGAGGGACAAACCAGTGAGAAATTTAAGAGCAAGAACTTAAAACAGGAGGTAACTGGTACGTAGGGTCCTTGTCCTGTTTAGAGTTCATGCTTTATACTTTGGTGGCAGCTTTTGAAACATTTCAGCTCTTAACTGGTCCTGACCTTTATTTTAGGAGACATCTGAGGTGATGCCATTTGCCGTGGGTAATTCTCTCTTCATGCCTAACTTCTCTTTTTCTTTCCTCCTTTTTGTTTTTTATATTTTTGAGACAGAGCCTCATGTATCCCTGGCTGGCTAAAGATAACCTTGCACTTCTGAGTCTCCTGCCTCTACCTCCTGAATACTGGGACTGCAGATGTATACCACCATGCCTAGTTTATGTGGTGCTGGGGATCAAACTCAGGACTGTATATACCAGATGTGCAGAATGGTTTTTGTCAACTTGACACAAGCTAGAATCATCTGGGAAGAGAACATCAGTTGAGAGGTCGCCTCCATCAAATTGGCCCACAGGCAAATCTTTGGAGGCATTTTCTTGATTAGTAACTAATGTGGGAGTGCCCAGCCTCTGGGCCGGTGGTCCTAGGTTGTATTAAGAAAGCAAACTGGCAATGCTAGAGGGACGACTCAGTGCCTCTAACACTAGCAGCTCTTCCAGAGGGTCCAGGTTTGATTCCCAGCACCCACATGGTAGCTCCCAACAGTTTATAGCTTCAATTTCAGGGCATCTAATTTGGATCTCTATAGGCACTTATATACATGGTGCACAGACATACTTTCAAGCAAAACATCTAAAAATAAAAATAAACTTAGAAGAAAGCAAGCAAACTGAGCAAGCTATGGGGAATAAAGCAGTAAACAGCATCCTCCATGATCCTTGCTTCAGTTTCTGGCTCCAGGCTCCTGCCACGAGCTTCTGCCATGGCTTCCCTCAATGGTGGACTGCCAGCTCTCCTTTCTCCCTAAGTTGCTTTTGGTTATGGTCTTTATCACAGTAATAGGAAGGAAGTTAGGACACTAGGAAGCACTCTGCTGGCTGAGTTACATGCCTAGGCCCTAACTTCTCTCTCTTTTTTTTATTGTTTTTGTTGAGCTACACTTTTTTCTCCACTTCCTTTCTTTCCTATCCCCTTCTGCCCTCTCCCGTGACCCCCATGCCTCCTAATTTACTCAGGAGATCTTATCTTTTTCACCTTCCTATGTAGGTCCATGTATGTCTCTCTTAGGGTCCTCTTTGTTGTCCTGTTTCTCTGTAGGCTGCTTTTTCTTTGCTTTATGTCTAAAAGCCACTTATGAGTGAATACATATTATATTTGTCTTTCTGGGTCTGGGTTACCACACTTAATATGATGTTTTCTAGATCTATCCATTTCAAGATGTCATTATTTTTTACTGCTGTGTAGTACTCCATTGTATAAATATACCACATTTTCTTTATCCGTTCTTTGGTTGAGGGGCATCTAGGTTGTTTCCAGGTTCTGGCTATTACAAATAATGCTGCTGTGAACATAGTTGAGCACATGTCCTTGTGGTATGAGTGAGTGTCTTTTGGGTATATACCCAACAGTGATATTGCTGGGTCTTGAGGTAGATTGTTTCCTAATTTTCTGAGAAATTGCCATACTGATTTCCAAAGTAGCTGTACCAGTTTGCACTCTTACCAGCAATGAAGGAACATTTTCCTTACCCCATATACTTTCCAGCGTAGACTGTCATCAGTGTTTTTGATTTTGGCCATTCTGACAGGTAAGATGTAATCTCAGAGTTGTTTTGATTTGCATTTCTCTGACTAAGGATGTTGAGCATTTCCTTAAGTGTCTTTCAGCCCTTTGAGTTCGTCTATTGAGAGTTCTTACCCCATTATTGAGAGGTCTGTACCCCATTTTTTTATTGGATTATGGTGCATGGCAATAGAAATGGATCTATTTTCATTCTTCTACATGTTGATATCCAGTTATGCCAGCACCATTTGTTGAATATGCTTTCTTTTTTCCATTTTATATTTTTAGCTTCTTTGTTTAAAAAAAAAAACTTTGTTCGTAGTTGTGTAGATCAATATCCGGGTCTTTGATTTGATTCCATTGGTCCTCCTGTCTGTTTTTATGCTGATACCAGGCTGTTTTCAATACTGTAGCTCTATAGTAGCATTTGAAATCCGGGATTGTGATGCCTCCAGAAGTTCTTTTGTTGTACAGGATTTTTTTTTTTTTTTTTTTTTTTTTTTGGTTATCCTAGGTTTTTTGCTTTTCCATATGAAGTTGAGTATTGTTCTTTGAGGTCTGTGAAGAATTTTGCTGGGATTTTGATGGGCATAGCATTGAATCTGTAGATTGCTTTTGGTAAGATTGCCACTTTACTATGTTAATTCTACCTACCCAAGAGCATTGGAGAGCGTTCCATTTTCTGGTGTCTTTTTCAGTTTTTTTCTTCAAAGACTTAAAGTTCTTGTCATACAGGTCTTCTGCTTGTTTGGTTAGAGTTACTCCGAGATATTTTATGTTATTTGTGGCTATTGTGAAGGGTGATGTTTCTCTGATTTCTTTCTTAGCCCATTTATCATCTGTGTAAAGGAGGGCTTCTAATTTTTTTTGAGTTAATCTTATATCCTGCTATATTACTGAAGGTATTTATGAGTCGTAGGAGTTCCCTGATAGAATTTTTGGGGTCACTTAAGTATATTATCATATCGTCTACAATAGTGAGAGTTCAACTTCTTTTCTGATTTGTATCCCCTTGATCTCCTTTTGTTGTCTTATTGTTCTAGCTAGAACTTCAAGTACTATATTGTATAGATATGGAGGGAGTGGACAAACTTGTCTTGTTCTTGATTTCAGTGGGATCACTTTGAGTTTCTCTATTCCATGACAGAACCAGATTTAAACAATACCTAGCCACAAATCCAGCCCTATACAAAGTACTAGAAGGAAAACTCCAACCCAAGAAAGTCAGCTATACCCACAAAAACACAGACAGTAGATGATCTCACAGCAGCAAACCTCAAAGAAGGGAAAAGCACACACAGTAACATCAGTTACAACAAAATCTAAAATGAAAGGAACTGGAAATCACTGGTCATGAATAGTCCTTAATATAAATGCACTCAACTCACCTATAAAAGGACACAGGCTAACAGATTGAATATGAAAACAGAATCCATCCTTCTGCTGCTTACAAGAAACACACCTCAACCTCAGAGACAGACATCACCTCAGAGTAAAGGGTTGGGAAAAAAATTTTCCAACCTAAGAAACAAGCTGGGATAGCTAACCTAATATCTAACAAAATAGACTTTAAGATCAATCAAAAGACACAAAAAAGGGCATTTCATATTTGTCACAAGAAAAATCCACCAAGAGGAGATCTCAGTACTGAACATAAATGTCCCAAATACAAGGGCACCTACATATGTAAAAGAAACATTACTTGAAGCTTAAATCACACATTAAGCTCCACATACTAATAGTGAGAGACTTCAACACCCCATGCTCACCTCTGGACAGGTCTGCCAGATAGAAACTTAACAGAGAAATAAGGGAACTAACAGACGTTATGACTCAAATGGACTTAATGGACATCTATAGAACATTCCATCCAGACATAAAAGAATATACCTTCTCAGCTCCTCATGGAACCTTCTTAAAAATTGATCACAAACTTGGTAACAAAAAACCTCAAGGAAATTGGAATAATCCCCTGTATCTTATCGGATCTCCATGGCTTAAAGTTAGAATTCAACACCAACACTAATTTCAGAAAGCCCACAAACTCATGGAAATTGAACAATGCTCACCTGAATCACCAGTGGGTCAAAGAAGAAATAAATTAAAGACTTCCTAAGATTCAATGAAAATGACCATACAACATACTCAAACTTATGGGACACAATGAAAGCAGTGTTAAGAGGAAAGTTCATAGCACTAAACACCTACATAAAGATGCTGGAAACATCCCACACTAGCAAGTTAGCAGAATACCTGAAAGTTCTGGAATAAAAAAAAGCAAACTCACCCAGGAAAACTAGACAACAGGAAATAATCAAATTGAGAGCCGAAATCAACAAAATAGAAACTTAAGAAAACAGTACAAAGAATCAATGAGAAATCAGAAAAATAGACAAATCAAGAAAATAGACAAACCTTTATCCAAACTAACCAGAGAGGGAATATCCAAATTAACATAATTAGATATGAAAAGAGGGACATAAGAACAGACACAGAGGAAATCCAGAGAATCATCAGGTCATACTTCAAAAACCGATACTCTACAAAATTGGACAACTTAAAGAAAATGGATAATTTTCTGGATAAATATCACTTAACAAACTTAAATCAAGACCAGATAAATTAACCTGTAACCACTAAGGGAATAGAAACAGTCATCAACAGTCTCCCAATTAAAAAGAAAAGGAAAAAAAAAAAAAGTCCAGGACCAGATGGCTTCAGTGCAAAATTCTACAAGATTTTCAGAGAACGAATACAGATATTCCTCAAATTGTTTCACACAATAAAAACAGAAGGAACATTGCTAAACTCTTTTTATGAGGCTATGGTTACCCTGATACCTAAACTACATAAGAAACACTATTAAGAAAGAGAATTACAGACCATGAACATTGATGCAAAAATACTTAATAAAATACTGGCAAACAGAATCCAAAAACACATCAGAAAAATCATCTACTATGACCAAATAGGCTTCATCCCAGAGATGCAGGGATGGCTCAACATATGAAAATCCATCAGTGTAACTCACCATATAAACAAACTGAAAGACAAAAGCCACATGATCATCTCATTAGATACTGAAAAAGCCTTTGACAAAATTCAACATCCCTTCATGATAAAAGTCTTGGAGAGAGCAGGGATACAAGGAACGTATCTAAACATAATAAAGGCAATATACAGCAAACCTAACTTCTTTTTTAAAGTAATGTCCAAATACAGAAAGTCATGCCTTCTGTTTCCAGAGGAATATA